CACTGTATATAGACAGTGCAGGTGTACAGTTCAGCAAGTATATAGACAGTGCAGGTGTACAGTTCAGCAAGTATATAGACAGTGCAGGTGTACAATTCAGCAAGTATATAAACAGTGCAGGTGTACAGTTCAGCAAGTATATAAACAGTGCAGGTGTACAGTTCAGCAAGTATATAGACAGTGCAGGTGTACAGTTCAGCAAGTATATAAACAGTGCAGGTGTACAGTTCAGCAAGTATATAAACAGTGCAGGTGTACAGTTCAGCAAGTATATAGACAGTGCAGGTGTACAATTCAGCAAGTATATAAACAGTGCAGGTGTACAGTTCAGCAAGTATATAAACAGTGCAGGTGTACAGTTCAGCAAGTATATAGACAGTGCAGGTGTACAGTTCAGCAAGTATATAAACAGTGCAGGTGTACAGTTCAGCAGAATATATAAACAGTACGGGTGTACGGTTCAGCAAGTATATAAACAGTGCAGAGTGCCTGCAGTTCCGCTCGAGAGGTACAGATTTCTATAGTATATAAACAGTGCAGGTGTACAGTTCCTTGATATATAAACAGTGCAGGTGTGCAAGTTCAGCAGAAGTATATAAACAGTGCAGTGTACAGTTCAGCAAGTATATAAGCAGTACCCAGGTGTGCAGTTCACTTATTTGCGTATACATAAACAGTGCAGGTGTACAGTTCATGAAATTATAAACAATTGCAGGTGTACAGTTCAGCAAGTACAGTATATAAACGGTGCAGATTGTACAGTTCAGCAGAAATATATAGACAGTGCAGGTCAGCGCAGTTCAGCAAGTGCAATTATATAAACAGTGCAGGTGTACAGGTTCAGCAGTACTCTCAAGCAGTGCAGGTGTACAGTTCGGCAAGTATATAAACAGTGCGGGTGTACGGTTCAGCAGAGTATATGAACGGTAAAAGGTGTACAGTTCAGCAAATTACAGTATATAAACAGTGCAGGTGCAGTTCGCTAATCATATAAACAGTGCGGGTGTGCAGTTCCGCGCGAGAGTATATGAACGAATGCGGGTGTACCCAAGTTCCTTAGAGTACGGTATATAAACAGTGCAGGTGTACAGTTCAGCAAGTACAGTATATAAACAGTGCAGGTGTACAGTTCAGCAAGTATATAGACAGTGCAGGTGTACAGTTCAGCAAGTACAGTATATAAACAGTGCAGGTGTACAGTTCAGCAAGTATATAAACAGTGCAGGTGTACAGTTCAGCAAGTACAGTATATAAACAGTGCAGGTGTACAGTTCAGCAAGTACAGTATATAAACAGTGCAGGTGTACAGTTCAGCAAGTACAGTATATAAACAGTGCAGGTGTACAGTTCATAGTATAGACAGTGCAGATTGTACAGTTCGCTTAAGTACAGTATATAAACAGTGCAGATTGTACAGTTCAGCAAGTATATAGACAGTGCGGGTGTACAGTTCAGCAAGTATATAGACAGTGCAGGTGTACAGTTCCTTAAGTACAGTATAAACAGTGCAGGTGTACAGTTCAGCAAGTGGTATATAAACAGTGCAGATTGTACGACATGAAGGCACGATATATAAACAGTGCAGGTGTAGTATATAAACAGTGCAGGTGTACAGTTCAGCAAGTACAGTATATAAACAGTGCAGGTGTACAGTTCAGCAAGTATATAGACAGTGCAGGTGTACAGTTCAGCAAGTACAGTATATAAACAGTGCAGGTGTACAGTTCAGCAAGTATATAAACAGTGCAGGTGTACAGTTCAGCAAGTACAGTATATAAACAGTGCAGGTGTACAGTTCAGCAAGTATATAGACAGTGCAGGTGTACAGTTCAGCAAGTACAGTATATAGACAGTGCAGGTGTACACTTTAGCAAGTACAGCTCCTCCCCGACTTACGATGGGGTTAGGGACCCAAATCCAGGTCATAAGTCGAAAATGCTTAAATAATACATAGAAAATCTAAAATGGGTGTCTCTTTTTCTTCTCAGCACCACACAACTCACTTTTAAGCTTGCCAGCCATTTTAAAGTGAATTACAAACGAAACTTTTGTCAGTACACAGCGCAATCACTGACGTTGGGACTCGAAAATACGTAATTTGACAAAATTTTGGTACGACTGAGGAGGTCGTATGTCCGGGTGGTCGTAAGTCGGGTAGGAGCTATAGACAGTTCAGGTATACAGTTCAGCAAGTATATAGACAGTGCAGGTACAATGTATTGTAGATAGACAATGCAGGTTTACAAACATTATACCTAGACAGTGATGTTATACAATATACAGTATATAGACAGTGCAAGGATACAAGCAGGGTACAAACATACATAGACTGTGCAGGTTTACAAACAATGGTAAACAGTAAGACAGTTTTACCGAGGATAATCAACAAAATCATCAGACTAGTTTCCAAATAATTTCTAAAGGAATAATTCATTAGGGAATAATATATACAGTAAGTCACACCTTTCAGGATGCATTAATATTGTTCACCTTTCAACTCTCTTTCTCATTTTATATCATGTCATCAGTTTTTCATCTTATCTTGATTTCAGGAGAGAGTTTCAGATTCCTTTTGTGACGCTGACTGAGGATTTTTTCATCACATATCTCAATTTTTTATTTAATTTCCAGCATATTTAATACCATGTGATGATGATGATGATTTATTTTCTTAGGTGTCATCCACACTCATTTTTTTCCTTATAATCTCTGAATAATTCAAAGGAGTCTCTATGGATTATTTGAAGGCTACCCTCCCATTGGTCCCCAGTTTATTTAACCTGATTATTAAACACTGTAATGTGAGCCTAATCTAACCTGACGTAATCCTCCCCCACCCAACCCAAGGTAGCATTGGGGTGTTTAATCATCAGTACAGTACAGTAGTAGGCAGCCACCAAACAGGGAGGTACTACCGTCTAGGCCCTAGGAAGTATAATGTGTTGTCTAATGGTAGACCCTGCTGCTATATGGCATCATCAAATTTTTACCAAATCCCAGGTTGCTGATGTCTTTCTGCCTCATTTACACACAATTGCAGGGTCTCAATTGTTTCTCTTACATTGACAACACAACATACTGTACTGTTCTTTTCTCACTATATTGATCTTTTTTTTAGATTTATTTTTTAATTTTTGCTTTACCTGTATTATTATTAATATTATTATTTTATTATTATTCTCATTATTATTATTATTATTATTATTATTATCATTATTATTATTATTATTATTGTTGTTGTTATTATTATTAATATTATTATTATTATTATTATTATTATTATTATTATTATTACTGCTATTCTTATTATTCTTCTTCTTCTTATTATTATTATTATTATTATTATTATTATTATTATTACTACTATTATTATTATTACTACTATTATTATTACTATTATTATCATTATTATTATCATTATTATTATCATTATTATTATTATTATTATTATTATTATTATTATTATTATTATTATTATTATTATTATTATTATTATTATTATTATTATTATTATTATTATTATTATTATTATTATTATTATTATTATTATTATTATTGTATTTTTGCCCCCCAGGCCCCGATGTGGGTCATTGACCTGTTCCCGGGTGGGTTAATCCCATAAAAAAAAGTGAAATACAGTAAGTTAGGGGGCTAATATTCACGTGATCCTTATGATCCTTATTTTATCTGACTACTGTATTCCTCTACAGTACTGTATTGTATTTTTTGTATGGGGAGGAAAACTCAAATGAAACCTAATGGAAAAGTTTACCTTAATTGATGTATGTCCTGAGTACTACTTGGATCAGGACAACGTATTGGAAGTCAAGGTCACAGGCAAGACTTAAGATACAACCCAACCCAACCCCAGTGTTGGGGGAACAGTGTGTGTTTGGGGGAGAGGGGGAGGGGGGCTAGGAACCTGTGTGTGTGTGTGTACTGTAAAGGGGGGAGGTTCAGCCTGGCTCACTGTTGTTGAGTAGGAGAAGCTGCAGAAAACAGTGACTTTTTCACTTCCATTTTCTTACGTTTACTTTGTCTATCAAGGTCTCTTTTAAGTCTTATCTTCACAGATAAAAATTTGGTTTTGTTTTAGTGTTAACTAATGTTCACAAACTAGACATACAAATGAACCATTCATGTTACAGTACAGTTACCATGGTGTCACACCCTATAAGATGTTGTGTAACAGTAGACACTCTCACGTTACCATTTAACATCAGCGTCAGTTTATAATAAATCTTACATTGTACCGAAAGTTGACATGTGTGTATGATTACTCTCCTCTATAATTTATAGGACTCAGTGTATATGTATGTATAAATATAAAGATAATCTTGAGTTATCTTGGATACATATCACTTAATGCTGATTAGTACAGTAGTGGTTAATTTCATTTGAAGTGTTGAGCTTTTATCATAAAGTATCTGTAAGATAACTTTTAAGTCTAATCTAAGGATGGACTACTTAGACCTGCAGCATGAAAGGTCCCACACATGTCATCTGTTGATACAAGTCTCTCTTTTCCCTTTTTAGCATTCCTAAATCAAATGGCACCGATTACTAGGTTCATCGATAAATTTGTGCCAATACTCCATGCCCAACAGGAATACATGAGTGGAGGTAGGGATTACATTGTTCGGGCTTTACCGTCAAATACTTTGCTACAGAGTGAGCCAGTTCTGTCAATGGGACCCGAGAGGCTTCATGTTATTAGGCCCACTGGTAGCCCAACCTTCCTGCTTGGAGTTGCTGTGATGTTTGGCAATATTCTGAGCTGGCTCTTTCTATAGTGCTTCTTTTAACTTTTTATGTGTATAGGTACACTAATTGTCATCTCATAAACAAAATGTTTTCTTAGGTACCATTACTAATGTATTCATGAATGTCCAAATGCCTGTTCTTATGCCTAAATGTTGTCAAACATGTCCAGACCATTTTTTTATTTTACAATATTACAGTTGTGGTTATTATTGGTTGATGAGCACCTTTCCCCTCAGGTGCCGGGTACGTGTTAAGTCGGGAAGCCTTGAGGAAGTTTGTCGAAGAAGCCATACCCAACCCTAAGAAGTGCCGACCGGACCATGCTGGGGCAGAAGATGTTGAAATAGGTTAGTGGAAAATTCTTTTCGAACCTTCACCCAGGGAAAGGAAGACCCTAATTGGGTTTGGCTGCAGTTATATAGCTGACTAAGGTTTTCTTTACTTTTTATGGTAAATTTTTATACCTTCATGGTGTTGTCTCTTTGTCTGTCTGTAGACAAATATTTTTTCTGTGGTAATTCAAGTCTGTTTATTACACAGATGATGAACTCTGTTCATTATGATGGGGTAACCCACCAGCTGCTGAATGCTTTGCTAAAAATCAAGGAATCATCTCCTGTCCAGTCAGCCTATACCCTAGCTGGGGAAGGGTTGTATAAGGACAGTTAGTGTATGCCGGCTATATTTTACTTGACTGCTGAGAATGTACAATCTGATTCAGTCTGAGTGGCTGTTACACCACTTCCTTGGGTATAATTTCTTGAGAATCACCTGTACAGTCATCCCTTGCATCATGGATATTGATATTCAGGTTGTGGAATTTCTCACACTTGGTATTTGTGAATTATGGCCACTGAGTCTGAGATACAACGTGAAGACTCATCCATCCTTAAATGGGATAAAAAAAAAAGTGACAGAGGAGGAGTGATAATAGATGACTTGGAGAATATATGACTAAATCTCACATTAATTTCACTAAACTTTGTCTCCCAATTACAAGACGTGACCTAAAGGACTTCTTACTCAATCAGTATTCTGAATTTGCTTTTCTTTCAGGTAAATGTATGCAGAATGTCGGGGTGAAGGCAGTTGACTCCCGAGATAGCTTAGGTCGTGGACGGTTCTTCCCATTTGTTCCTGAACATCATCTGGTTCCTGGTCACATTGGTCCTAAGAACTGGTACTGGGATTGGATTTATTACCCTTCCAAAGTTGTGAGTATCACCAGGGGCTGATTTTTCCCCCAGCCATCTTCCAGAGCTGAGTCTAGCTAGATCAAACCTAACTCTACCCTACCCTACCCTTAAACAAATCAAACCAAATATGAATTGACCCAACCTCTCCTTAACCAAATCTGGCAACCTAACCAAAGCCACACAATGTATATGGATATTGGGGTTCCTTTACACAGCTGAAATTTGTATTGCTATGTATATCACCATTCATATGCATCACACAGAGTGCACCATACATCATCCATGTTACTCTTTACTTTATCAGCTGTATTACATTAAACACTGTTTTCTGTTTGGCAGGGTCTTGATGAACACTGTGTTCTCTTTGCCAGGGTCTTGACCAACACTGTTTTCTCTCTGCCAGGGTCTTGATTGCTGTTCAGACACCGCCGTCTCCTTTCACTATGTACCACCTAACAAAATGTATGAACTGGAATACTTCCTCTACCATCTCCGGCCATATGGCATCAACCACCAGGACCCCTTCCCACCTCCGCTCCCCCCTGATACTAAAAGCATCCCACAGAAGGTAAGTCAATTGCTTCTGAGATTTTTGCATGTATATAAACCTTTTACTGCTGACATTTTTGCTTGTATATAAACCTTTTACTGATGAGATTTTTGCCTGTATGTAAACCTTCTCCTGCTGAGATTTTACTCTGTATCAAGGCTTTTCTCACTGTGACTTTTTTGCATATATAGAATTTGCCTGCTGTGTTGTACGGTCGCTAGACATTTCTTCTGGATGTCAATATTTCTCCGTAGGTCAGTAAGTTGAGCGTTTGTTCTCAAGTGACCAGTCACGGAAATCACATGAAGATTAGTCCACCCCATGTTATTTTACATTAAGATTATAGCCACCCTAAAGCTAACCTAACTTAAAGCTAACCAAGTATAACCTAAGATATGATAACATGATCTAAAGGTATACTAACCTAACCAAATGCTAGTTGAACCTTAACTAATATAACATAATATAGCATACCATTCCCCCCCACCCCCCAACCTCTCAATAGCATTAGGATTTTCAATCATCAGTTGAAATAAGTTGGTAGAGGATGGCGTTCCTTCTTTCTTTACTAATCATTTATATTCCTCAATATATGAATACACTGTTGGGTTCATTTGCCGATGGTGGGTGAGAATCCTGTCAAGTGGGTGGAGTTAATCACTAGTTGTTAAAGTTTAAAAATCAGATCAACACCTCTCTGGCCTTGGTACAACCCCCAGCTTATTTCAACTCATCATAAACCCTAGTCCTATTGGGGGTTAGGTTATGTTATATTAGGTTAGCTTTATAATAGTTTACTTTAACTTAGGTTTGATTCTAGTGTAGGTTAGTTTAGGGAAGGCTAAATTTCAGGGTAGTTAAATCAAGGGGAGGAGAGCTAATATTCATGTGATCCATAAAGGCTCAACTTGCGAACTGTTTCTTGTTCCTTTGTGGTGTTGGTTCAGACTACACCACTGCCGTGCACCACAGAGGAGCAGACTTACTGTATCTGACTTAAGAAATATATATACAGTAGTAAAATATTGCCAGAATTTTCTTAATAGATAAATTCAAAGAAATATTTTCATATCTTCATAAGAGTAGGCAGTAATAGCCTCATTGATTAATATTATTTAACAGCCAGTGTGTAAATCTATGCTAGAATTTCAAGTTCAGCCATTTATTCTTGCTGTAATATGAAGAAAGCTAAGGTTATTTCAATAGTGTTTCTTATGGTCAAGTTCACACACACAAGTTTGCATCAAGTAGGAGAGTGGCATCACCCTGGTCTCTGTTAAAACTAAATGAGAACAATGAACTTAAGATTTACATGAAGGGATATGTTATAACATGTGATGCTGCATCAGTAGATAATTATGTTGTTTACAGGTGATAGAACAATACAAGAAGGACTCTGTCTACACCATTCAACACTCAGACGACAACACTAAACAGTCGAGACAAGAAAACCAAGGAAGTGAAGCAAAACGACAACAGACTAGTAAAGATGGTAACACAGCGGACGTTTCTTTACGAAGGAAAGATGACAAATCAAAAGTTGTGTCGTAGTGAGAAACATTTTTTATATGAACTTTCATTTCATAATTTTGAAACTTGTTATAGTGTAACATTTTGATGAGCATTATCTGTCATAAGGTCTGTCACTGCAACAGTGAACCAAATAGACCTTATAAGATAGTGAAGAACCTGTGTCATTGTGATAGTTAAGTCTTTGGTGCTAAAACTCATATTTAACCCCAACATATTCGCTGTCAACTACTGACAAGATTAGTCAAACCCTCCTTTCCCTTATAACCACATCCACATCACCTTTATTAGGATTTATTTATATTCTGTTTTTGATAGCCTCCAATTATGTGTATCAGGTCATAGCTGTGTATTTCTCCTCAGAGGATGTAAGTGTCTGGACCTCATCTTGTTAAAGCACTTACACACGTACTGTATCTCTATTCCTGTCATAGTTTAGGCACCCCAAATTATTCTTTATTTCAAGTGTTTTGGTTATAAGGAAAGAATCTTTGACTACTCCTCACTCAGTAGTACACAGCCATTCTCTTGGGGCTGAACTGTGTCATAACCTGGTAGACTTGACTGGCAGACTGACACGATTGAGTCCTTTACTCCCACCTTTGCTATGGAATGGAATTTAAGGATTAATTTAATACCTTTTGTGGAGGGCATTAAGGGCATTTTGTGTCATGACGATGGTTAAATACTTTTGTAAAACCTGTTTCCTGTTAGACAGGTGAAAAAAGACCGTGTTTGTTCAAGTGCTTTTATTTTACGAGGGAACTTTTTGACGGGAAACATTTCTTTTAAGACAATACAGTACAGTAGTTCTTGATTAGATAAAGGATTGTACTGTACTTTGTTTGTTGTTCATGTCTTGGGCAAAATAAAAAAGAACCATTAACACTGTATACATTGAATTTGTATTTTGAGCAAATTTCTTTATACGTAATTAAAATGTACTTTGGCAAATATCAAAACTAAGTATTTAAAATTGTATTTGTATTTCTGGTGCTTGTCTATACAACCAGTAAACTTTGCAGTTCCTTTATGTTGTCTGAAAAAAAAAGTCAGTTCAAAGAGTATGAAATTTATTTTATTTTATTACTTTAGTTTGGTATAAGCTTTATTTTTATTTTATGTGCCAAAGATATTTTGTTCATGACACTTTGAGTACTTACTACTAAGCAGCTCAACTTCTCCATGTACCAAGTTATTCATTGTAACATTTGATTTTCTTGACCATTTGTGACCTCTCAAGGAAACCGCATGAGATTTTATCCAGATCTTGGTGTTAATCCTTACTTAAGCCTTTCTTTGTGTTAGGTCTTGTTTTACACACATGTTTGATCTTCTTTCCTCTACCTGAGATTTGTTTTCTCTTATTCCTTTATGAACGAACACACACACACACTCTTTCTCTCAGTTATAACTGTTACAGAGAGAAGAATGAATACCTTTTCTCTCTCTCAGGTGTAAGTGAGAGAGAGAGACAGGCAGAAAGGAATTAATACTCCTCACTCAATCACAAATGCTGTTCATGAGAAGAAATCTGCCCCTCATTGTACATTTCACAAACTCCAGGTGCTGACTACTGTACATGGTCACCCAGAGTCACAAGCAGAGGATACAGATCATAAAGTATATCCTCACAAACAACAAAAGGACTTTAACCCTTAACCGGTAGCCATCATCAGTGGAAGTTGGGTGTAGGGACAGTGGCCATCATCTGTGGACACTTTATGTTCCTTGTGTTCCTTTTTTGTGCTTTTGGGGGCAGAGTAGAGAATCGTTGGCTTCCGGTTAAGAGTTAGAGCACTGTTGTTGCCAGTACAGTACAGCAGTTGTTAAACTAACACTGCTTTAAGGTCAATATTGTCATTTTCCTCACACTTTTCCTTTATATATTTTATTCAGGTATTTTGTTATAAAATTTGAGTACAAGTACATATTTAGGTAACCACTAACAAGTACTGTACTGTGATTACCATGCAGTACAGTAACAGTGTTAGAAGTGCATTATATATTCTTTATATAAATAGTTTAGGTTCTTGCTTGAAGGACACCAACATGTCCAGGTTGACTCACCTTAAAAAATTACTGTACATTAAACCTAAAGGCTTATTGTAAACTGTTGATTTATGCTTTGTTTTGTAACAGAAGTTTTACCATTATTGTACACATCACAATGAACTGAATGACAATAGAATTTTAACTTTAAATTATTAGAAATTTTATGGGTGTATATCATTTTGTTTTTCTTTTGTATATATTGTACTGTCATCATCATCACCATCACCATTTTCCACCCTGGCAGTTCTCCAGGCTCTCTTGTCAAGGTCTTATTCCTGAAGTCATTTCTCACATCTCCCCATGTCATCCTTTGCATAGCCCTGATTCTCTACTCCTCCGATTCAAATTCGAACTCCTGCATCTTTTAACCCAGTTGGTCTCCTCCATTCTCCCCACATGCTCGAACTATCTTAGTCTACCTCAACACAAAACCTTGCCAATGCTCTTAATACCCAGCCACTGAAGCCTGCATGTATTTTCCTCTCCGACTTCCTATGATTCACTGCCATTCAATATCACATTTCTCAATTCTTGTGGTATGTTCCCCCCTTCCATGCCTTAAACAATCTTCTTTTTCTTCTTTATTACTTGGTCCACCTCATCATACCATCACCATGTTACTGTATGCCTGGCTGGGCCCTTCTTCATGCTACACTTACTATACCATCTTTTAAATTGGCCCAACAATTTACTGCATTACCACTAACACTGTCGCTGGATATTTCCATTCCCCACAAATTAGCATAAATTACTTTCTTTACTTTCTATTCCTTCAATTTCACTTTCTATTCCTTCAATTTCCACATTCTTCTTAGAACATACACCTTCTTCCTTTCCCTTTTAAGCAACACACACACACACACACACACACACACACACACACACACACACACACACATGTCGACGACTCCACTATTGGGATCAGCGTCAACAATTCTACTCCCGACTATACCGCCCTTCAGGATTTATTGAACAGTCTCCAAAACTGGGCCACCAACAACCACGTCACCATCAACCATACCAAGACCATGGTTATGCACATCAACCTCTCCTCCGACATTGTCCCACCCCCTTCCATTACTTTAGGTCCCAACACACTCCAGGTTGTAGATTCCACTAAGCTCCTCAACGTCACCATAGACAACAAACTAAATTGGAAACCACACGTCAGTGAAGTTGTCAAGTCCTCCAGTTTCCGTCTCCACCTCCTCCGCCGACTCAAGTCCCTTGGAGTTCCTACACCCGAGCTCCTCAGTGTTTCCTCAACATTCATACTTTCCAAGCTCACCTATGCCTCCCCCACCTGGTCTTCCTCCCTAAATGCCACACAACGTAAACACCTAGAAAAGGTGCAAAAGAGGGCATGCAAGATTATTCTCTCCCTTTCCTACTCCACATATCAAGAAGCACTCAACACACTGACCCTTTCGACTCTCACTGACCATCACTACGACCTCATCTGCAAATTTGGTAAGAAGCTTCTGCACCATCCTCGACACCGGCTCCTACTACCACCTGAGATCCCTAGCCCGAGAATTGCTGTTCGACACCACAACCGCATCCAGTCCATACGTGCACGAACTGATCGCTATAAGAACAGCCCAGTCCCAACCTTTGTAAAAATTATCAATAACTTGTAATAAACCAGTGTACAGCTAGACCCCGACTTACGACTGCTTCGACTTACGACCGTCGGGACTTACGACCGCTGCAGTTGTGACCATTTTTTTTTTTTTTTTCAAAATTTTTTTTTTTTTCAAATGAAGCACGCATTTTCTATACCGAAACGTTTCCAGTTAATGTAGTCTCCATGTATAATTAGAAAATTATGGGGGCCCCATGTGCATTAAGCTGACTACATTAAAGGTAAGTGCTCAGTCACACTATATCCATTCCTCATTATTTATTACTTTCACTGTACTGTATCCATTCCTCATTATTTATTACTTTTACTGTACTGTATTTCATTGTAGATTTTTTATTAAAAAAAAAAAATAATAATAATTTTTTTATCTATGTCGGACTTACGACCATTCGGACTTACGACCTGGATTTGGGTCCCTAACCCCGTCGTAAGTCGGGGTCTAGCTGTTATTCACTCCCAGTAAATCCTACTTCTTGCACTGTCACTATGTTGAAATGCCCTGTAGTTTGAGCTTTTCCCCATCTAGTTATTATATATCTTATTTGTATCACTTACTTGTATATTATTTGTAAATCGAAACCCATTCCCCAATTATGTAACTGTATATTTTCAGCCTTCTGGCTGCTATGCTCTTTCAATAAACCGTTAATTATTATTACACACACACACACTCTTTGTGTTGCAAGGCACATATTAGTGTAGTTTCTGTCTGATTTCCTGACAAGTAAGGAATCAGTCTGGGATTTTGTGCCATCTGACTCATATATGATCAGCCCACTCGCTCTTTTTTTTAAATGGTGGATACAGCCCAAACTCAAGTGTTCTTTCACCTTCAGTATTCCATTTTTCAAAGCTTTTTCTCTTTGCACATGTTCATAATCCACTACAGTATGTGTTTGCCAATATGGCTGTTTTGGTATTTACCTTTCAACAAGCTCGGATACTACAAGCAGCAAGTCACCCTAGATCTTCTCCTTCCTTTATCACTTAGCCCAGCTGTGGAGCATAAGCAGATATAATAATGTTAGGATTCTTGCCTACCAGTAGCTTCAAAGCCAGAATTATCACATGTACTGTATACCCTCTTTTTCTCTTGTTTACATCTAACACTTCCCCACCCACTTTTCAGCAGTTAAGATCCCTATACCTACTGACCTAGAATCACTACCCATCCAAAAGATTTTGAACCTGTCATTCTTACCAGTTATCATCCATTTTCCCTGCACAGTACTGACATTCAGACTTCCAACTCTAAACCTAACTACATCAGGTTGCTCCACTTTGCTTTCACTCAGTTTTCTTTGGTAGACAATTATACAGTGTATCAGTGTTTTATGTGTAACAAGTTGACTAGGACCTTGGGTTGTACTGTCATACTGTATTTAAGTAATGCTTGGAGATGGATATCATCCAGAGCAAGATATTTCTGCTGCTAATCACCACAAACCCAGATACTAGTGAATCTGATGCCATAACAATAGCAACCTTGGGCTGACCAGCTTCAGGGACCCTTCCCCATGTACCCTTTTTACCACCACCCCATTTGTATAGTTTCCTGAAGGAGAACCTGTGTTTTATCAATTAGTTCTTGAAATTTGAAATTTTTGTAATCCGGTATTCATGTCTGGGTATAAATCTCTCCTCCCTAATGCAGCCATAAATGTACTAGTGAGAATAGTATTGTACTCCCTATGCTACTCATGGCAGGAGTCCCCCAAAACCACAAACAAATTGTGTGTGATCCTATGTTGCAAGATAAGTCCCCCTCACCCAGTTTGTTCCCTGGGTGTCATTGTTGGGCATGTACAACTGTCAAGACAACAGTGAATGATGGGAAGTGTGTCAACAATTATAGGTTGTCTTGTCTTCATTATTAAGATTCACCTCATTTCTCTGGAAGTCCAGGATGATTTTACTGTCATTTAGTGTTAATGAAGTAACCAATATACAGTACAGTAGTACCCCGATTTACGCGGTCAATTGAACCCACTGGGTACCGCGGAAAGTGAAAACCGCGTAAAGTGAACAACAGAACATATGGGATTAATTCCAATAGAGACTGGCCCGACCCCCAAACTCCACTTTTTCCGACACAATATCTATGTTGTAGTAAAAATAACATCTAAATTTTATGATGGTATGCTCACACAATTAATATTTAAGAGAAATACAGTCGCCAGGTTAATGTCCATTCAAATAATGGACTCAAATCCCCCCCCCCCTCTTCCCAGCTCACTGGCTCCTACCTCTCTGAGAAATGATTGGGTGAAAACACTAGATTTTAACGTTTAGTAATAAATAATACCTCAGACTAAAGTTAGGATAATATAATTGACATTTCTGGATTCCTTGCAGGTCAGGGAATATTTTGAATGTAAACTTCATATATTTTGCACAAAAGATAAAATATTTGCTTTGAGTAAACCAAATTATTACATTAGATCTAAAATTTGTATGTCTAATGTAAAATCCATGATGTTTATATTCAAAATGATCATCATATTGTAAGAATTCCAGCAATGTAAATTATATTCTGGCTGGGTAATTTTTATGAATTTTATGAGCTAAAAAAAAAAAAATAATTATACTTCAGCGCATATATGAGTAGATGCACCGCGGAAAGTGAAAGTCCGGTTCTGGCAAGGTACCGCGTAAATGAGAAATCGCGGAAAGTGAAACCGTGTAAAGCGGGGTAATACTGTACGTATATATTTTTAACTCACTTTATTTGAGTTTCAAGAATTATTGTGAACAAGGCATAAAATCAATACAGTAATTTGGTAATTAACATCATACTAACTTCCAGAACATATATTTAGTTAGTGTCAACAATTAATCCTTAAATGGTGGCCATCGTTGGCAGATGTTTCATATTCCTTGTTTTCCATTTTTGAGCATACAGGGTGGGGGAGGAGTGGGGAATAACTAGTCGCCAATTAAGGATTACCGGTAAGGGGAAAGAGCAGGAAATCAAACGTGATGCAGTCAATACTGAAGTCACTCATTAAACTTTAAGACATACAGTGAGTGCTGCAGCTTCTACGATAAGTGCTATACAATGTAAATATTCTCTTGTGTGAGGAAGATGGTGTTCCATAGGTCAACATGGAAGGTACTGTATGTATTTCAAGTTTCCATTTCTCTTGCTGGATGTTATGTCACCTATCTATTACAGTAATGAAAACACTGGCCTTCATGTTTGGTAATAAAGTACAGTATACATGTGCGGTACTATAGTGCATCTGCATAGTCATTATATCATTTTGTTTATACAGTTGGTCCTCACATTAAGCGGTCCCGCATTCCGCGTTTCCACGTTACCGCGGTGCCTTGCCAGAACCTAACATTTTCACATTTCGCGGTCGCGAACGCCATTCCGCGGAGAGTGTCCGGCGCGACGCTATTTTTAGATTTTCCCCATGCGCCAGCCGCCACCCGCCCGCCTGCCTGCCTCTCCCTCCTCCTCCCTCCGCTTGGGCAAGCGGCGAAGTAAGGTTGCGCAGGGTGTCTTTGTTGCGTTATCACTGACGTCATATGACCTACAAGACCTGTGATTGGCCATGCATCCCTACCCTCCTCTGCTGCTAGCTGTAATTGGCTTAAAGTATTATGACGTGTCCACCCGGGGCAGGGAGGGAGGGAGGAGAGACGTCGCTTGACCTAGCCGCGACAGTCTCATCCCTCAAGGCCACTCCGTGTTATCGCGCATCCATTGTTCCGTAAAATGGCTTCCGCCGGACCACCACCCCCAGAGAAAAACCTTTCCTTACCTGGACCCAGCGGCACTAAGCCAAAGAGGACACGACGTTCCTTAAGCTACGAGGTGAAGTACCAAATTATTCAAGATTTGGAGAAAGGAACACGGCAAGTTGATCTCGCGCGCCAGCATGGCGTCAACGAATCTACGATCCGGACTATAAAGAAGGATTCAGCCAAGATAAAGGAGCACATGAAGATCACAAAGTCTACAGGTGCTTCTATGATCAAGTATTTTCACAACCGGGTGCTTCTCAAGACAGAAAAATTACTTGTGAGGTACTTGGTGCGTCAGGCGCGACGCAACATGGCGGTCGACACGCGCTCTGTGAAGGACTACGCACGTGAACTGTACATGGCAGTGGCACGAAAGATGGGAACTTCAGAGCCCAAACCCTTTACTGCTTCCTCTGGGTGGTTACAGAGGTTTAAGATCCGGAACAAGATCACCAATATAAACATTGGTGGTGAAGAAGCGAGTGCTGATCGTGCTGCGGCTCGGGAATTTCCTCTGTTTTTACGTGAGATTATGGAGGAAGGACAGTACACCGACGACCAGGTGTTTAACATGGACGAATCTGGTCTTTTCTGGAGAAAACTACCTTCCAAGTCCTACATTGTGAAGAATGCCAGCAGGATTCGGGGCCGGAAAATGCAGAAGGAACGCATCACCGTCCTGTTTGCCACCAATGCCTCCGGTACCTGTAAGCTCAAGTTATCGGTGATCCACACAGCCCGCAAGCCGCACGCCTACAAAACCATGGACATGACCAAGCTAAATGTCCACTGGCTGACAGCACGTAAGGCATGGATGTTCTCTACACTGTCCCTCTCCTGGTTTGATGACTGTTTTGTTCCCGATGTAAAAAAATTCTGTGAGCACAGAATGTGCCATTTAATATTTTGTTGCTGCTGGACAACGCACCAGGACACTCGCCCCTACTCTTAGATCGTCACCCTAACGTAAAAGTGGTCTTCCTTCCTCCCAACACTACGTCTATATTACAGCCCATGGACCAGGAGTTGATTTGCAATGTGAAATCTGCATTCTCAACAAAAAAATTCCAGCTCCTGAACGACTACACCAACACCAGGGAAGAGTTGCGTGACCTGAGTGACACCACCACCGATAGCAAGAGCGACGAAGATGAGGAACAACGGTTAGAACAGCAAAAAATACTCTTCAAACAATTCTGGAGAATTTTTAACACCAAGAAAGCTGTGGACATCTTGGTGGAGTCATGGGATCAGCTGTCTATTGCTACAATTCGTCACGCATGGAGACATGTGTTGCATGGAATACCAGGTGAGAGGAGGAGTCAATCTGTGACTGGTGAGGTTCAGACTGTTGCAGTAGCAGTGGACCTTGCCAGAGAAGCTGCGCAGACTGTTACAGTTCCAGGCTTCTCCGAGACCACCAACGACGACATCCTGGAGGTGATCAGAAATCCTGAAGTGACTGCTGACGAGATGTTGGAAGAAGAACACGTCAGTGAAGAGGAGGAAGAAGGTGCGTCAGTCTCCGAAGAACACAGTTTAAGTCATAGTGATATTAAGTGTGCCATGGAGTTTGCAGAGAACATTAAGTCCGTCCTTTCCCGCGACAATGACCGCTATGAAATCTTCCATAACCGGCTGGTGCAGGCTATGGAGCCGTACATCACGGTGTATCACGACAACATCAACACCAGCCGTCAGCAAAGCATAACAGATTTCTTCACCCGCAACCCACCACAGCCAGCCCAAGCCAGTGATAGTGACAGTGAAGTTGACTTTGAGGGATTTGTCAGGGAAGCCCTGATAACTGTAAGTGACAGTGATGATGATTCACCTAGTAATGGTGATTCACCTGAGGGCCAGTAATCTGCCCTCTGCCTCGGAACCAGCCTCCATCCCCGTATGCCGATCCATCTCTTCTACTACCGTAAGTGTTCCACAAAATTTTTCGTTTTTTAACCTATTCTTTATTTTTCCTATGTTAACCTTTATCTTTCCTAACCTAACCTCTTCTATATTACTTGTTTTTTCATACCATCATAAAGTTAAGATAAAATTTTTACTACAACATAGTTGTGTGTCGTCAAAAAGTGGAGTTTGGGGATCGGCCTGGACTCTATTTCAATTAATCCCATATGTTATGTTATTCACTTTCCGCGTTTCTCACTTTCCGCGGGACCCTCTGGGTTACATTAACCGCGTAATGTGAGGACCAACTGTATAAAATTTATTAGTGAAGTATTCATAATATTTATAAGAATTTTGTGAGATTAATTTTTCTGCTGTGACTTTCATTGTTGAAATAAAGTACAGGACTCTGTGTAAACTGATCAAGTTTCACCCTATCAAGTCATGATTATTGACAATTCGTATGATTATTTTCAAACTTTATATTATTGTGGGCTTCAGCCATAAATAAGGCTCCAACCTAACATAACCATTAGGATTAAAATCTAAATCTAATGGGCTCCAGTTCCAATGGGTTCTGGTTGTAATGCACCCATTCCTAATAATCCCACTTGTAATGGTTAGATGAGAGTAGGTTTGGTTGGAGCCTATTGGACCCACAACTGTGTGGGTTATACTTGATGTGCTTATTGTGCATTTAATGGTGATGGTTATTGTGGTACCAAGAATGTTTTGATGATGATGATGATGATGATGATATGACTGGTGGTTATTGTGATACCAAGAATGTGTTTTGATGGTGATGATTATGACAACTAGGCATTGTGTGATTCTTATTTTTTTATAGAAATAAATACCATTCTTATACTCTACATGTATTTTAGTATGACTGTACACACATGCTACAGTTCTCCAGTGTCTCTACATACCATTATAATATTTGTTTACGTTTTAGTGATGTAACAAGACCAATGGTTTCAAGACTGAGGCCAACGTCACTGGTACATAAGGGTAGATCCAATGCATAGGGTGCCAAGCTTTATCTCCTAATAGAGGCTATTGAGTAGTACCTCCCTGTTTGATAACTGCCTTCTACCTAACTTTGTGTGAAGAAAACAAGATCCCTGTAGTACTGTACTCAACTAAGATCTCTTTGAGACACAATTTAAGTTGTTTATGGTTTAAGGCTCACAATTTCATGAAGTTTACAATTGAAACAGAATTTTCATTATATTCTCAAAGTTCAAATTTTGAAAATATAAAATGCGATAAAACTGAAAAGCTTAATTTTTTCATTCAACAAGAAGCTTGATCAACAGTCCATTGTGTACACTAATAATTTTAGGAACCCAATCAGTTGCTATGCCAGCGAATTTTTCAATACACCGTACCCGGTTATCTCGCAAAATGGCATGGCACTGTACCAAAAGTCCATTTAGTAAATCAGTCTTTTTAGTTTGACTTTTATAGAACTGTGGCCAACAAGTTCCTGTTTGAGTTAAATGTTGTAGTAGCCAATACTGATGTTGTGCTTGCTGGCTAGGGATTTGGCCCTGTCCACCTCCTCCTGTGCTGGTGTTTGCTCTGACATGACACGAAGGCTGTTCATGTTGACGTTAGCGGCGGCTTTCAGTAGACGCTTCATGCCAACAGAGGCAGTGAGAGGAGACTCCTGAAGTATGACAGAACTATACCTGGGGGCGAGCTTGTTCAGCACCTCCCCCGCCCACTCAGCGTATGAGTCTGTTATACCAACCATCTTGACCACCAGCTGTTTCCTATAGTTCAGCTGAGGTATATCACAAATCTTGGTACATTTACTAATGTCCAGGAAAAGTTCTATATATTTCAGATTCCATTTTCTGGATGGCATAATTTTTGTTTTCCAGTGTCTGTGTTTCCTGATGCTGCCACTGAGGTGGATCAATGCTTTAAGAGAAGTTACTCGGATGAACAGTGACTGAACTTGTGTTGCTCTCTCCAGGTGTTTTGTGAACCACTCACCTGCTTCACCTTTATACTCCAGCAGTTTATTCACCTTGAGTAAAGGTACCACGTGACTGTCAACATCCTCCTGTAAACCTGCACTATGGAAGTGACGGTCAAGGTAGAGTTTAACTTGACTCTTGCCGATGTTTCCTAGAAGCTCGAGGATGACCATAAGGTGTGGACACTCACTGATACTTTTTGTGTATAGTACCTGCATCATGACCTCAAAGGGAGCAGTGCCAGTTTGTTTAAGCAAGTTCAGTTTAGCTTCAGTAGTTTCTGGGCTGTCCCAAGAATTAATAACCCAAAATTCTGTCTGGCTAACAATGACTGCCACCACATCACATACCGCGGGATCTTTCTCAGCCTCTTCCAGCAGCCGCCACAGGATGATGGGGTCACTGTCATGTATTGTCATACAGCGTGTCAGTATGTTCTTTATCTCCCCGGCTAAAGATGCTGTCATTTTATTATTAATTTTCAAGAGCCCAGCGATATACAGTATTAGTACTTGGAACCTTGAAGATTCAATGTCCTTGAATATGGAGGAGAGAGACTGTGAGGTGGTCACTTGTTCACTTATATACATGGCAGCAAGAAACTCCTGGCCAGAGCTGTGATGGAAAGAAAAACAGTGTAAGGGGCCAGTCAGTCTCTTCTTGCCTTCACAGTTCAAAAAAGTTGACAAAGTTTGTATAGCATCAATGCCTTCTGTTTCGCAGAGGTCAATGAGATGGTTAGTATGTTCTTGGCTCAAGTGAAGGGCTTCCTCACGCATCATACACCAGGCAATGTGACCCAGCGTCAGCAGCCAGCGTCGCACCTTGCGGCTCACGGACACAGCATGACCCCATCCCAGGCTTACCAACCGAGATGTTAGTTTTTGTTGACACATTTCATAAATATTTTGGTAGAGGCGAGTAGTTGTACTGACAGTGATCACCTTTTGTGAGTCATCGCACCACAAGATGAGTGAGAGTGCCAGTGTTAGTGGCAGTGTAAAGTGGAAGGCAAGTGACTTGCGTGCTCCTTCCATGTATGACACGAACTTATTCGTTTCTTCCTTCTGGCGGCTTTTGTCAGGGTATTTGAGGGCAAATATTTTCTCTAAAAATTTGTGCTGGTTTTCCTCATCAAAGCCTTCGATCTGCAGAACAATGTGGTCCTCTGCCATTTGCATCAGCTCTAAGATCATTTCCGGCCTGGTGGTGATGATGATTTTAGCTTGTGTAAACTTGTGTACAATCTCCTTCACTAAGTTCTTGCCCTGACTCGTGGCTTCATCCATACCATCAATGATAAAGAGAACATTAATATCCTGAAGTACTGGGATTATGTCTATCTTGTTAAACATTCGTGAAGTGTTCTTGAGAAGCTGTTCTCTGAGGAACTGTATGAGTGATCCACAACACACTGTTCTCATCTCTATGCCAATAACAATATCAACAGCCATTAGACCAGTAATGGTAGTGGACAGTTTGCACCATTCACTTAGCAGGTAGCGGTAGAGGGAGGTCTTACCTGCCCCCATTACCCCCTTCACGATCACCATACGTGGCACAAACCTCATCTTCAGTGATTCCACATTCAGGATATCATGCATCATCACATTAGTTCCATTCCCAACTATCTTCAAAGTGGTAAAAATATTGTCAACAGTAAAGTGCTCAAAGCTTTTGTCACTGAGCCAAGAACACGGGTTGAGGATGTTTGTCTCGGAGTAAGTTCTCATCAGCTCCTTCCTTCCCCTACTGATCATCTTGGAATGATTCTCTCGACGAAAACTTTCTAAATCTTGCATATAAGAGATTATGTTAGTGTGTTCAAGCCGAGCCTTAAGAAGACTCTGGAGGCCGTTCTCTACCTCCGCCATGATACTCGAGAGATCTTTGCCAGTGAGAGCCGCAGTACCCTTCAGGGTGGCTTGACACACACTTTTAAGCTCTTCTATTCGACGCTTCAACTCGACTTCGTCCATCTGAAGGTCTTCGTGACATACGGTGTTTCTCAGGTTCTTTAAATCCCGTATATCTTTTTTAATGGTATCGGGAAGATTCCTTAAAACCTCCATGATGATCTTGAAGAGTAAAGACACATCACAAACAAACTCATGGTCAGTAGGAACCTTGGTGATTATGAGCCTCTCAGATGTATTGAAAATCTTATTTAGGTTTCTCAAACTCCAGTTCAACTTTTTTAGGCAATAATCTTTCAGAGGTAAAGTTCCTTTATCAGTATCGTCAAGAGTCTGGTAGATGGACATGAACGTTGAGCTGAGAACCACTTGACCAAACTTACTCACAGCCTTGAAGTATTTCCCGAAGCAGACGTCTTGATTGGTGTAGTTGTCCAGTTCCATAGTGACGCAGGGCACTACTGCAGGCTCCATTATCATCACTAAATATTGAACAAACAACCTCAGGTGTGGTATGTGGCGCCACACCATGATATACACTATACCACACTGTTGAGGCCACACTATGATGTACACTATACCACACACTGTTGAGGCCACACTATGATGTACACTATACCATACCACACTGTTGAGGCCACACTATGATGTACCTGTACTCTATACCACACACTGTTGAGGTCACACTATGATGTACCTGTACACTATACCACACACTGTTGAGGCCACACTATGATGTACACTATACCACACTGTTGAGGCCACATCATGATGTACATTATACCACACAGCTAAGGCCACACCATGATGTACACTATAGCACAGTTGAGACCACACCATGATGTACATTATAACAAACACTTTGAAGCCACACCATGATGTACACTATACCACACAGTTGAGGCCACACCATGATGTACACTATGCCACACACTGTAGAGGCCACACCATGATGTACACTATACCACACAGTTTAGGCCACACCATGATGTACACTATGCCACACACTGTAGAGGCCACACCATGATGTACTATACCACACAGTTGAGGCCACACCATTATGTACACTATGCCACACACTGTAGAGGCCACACCATGATGTACACTATACCACATACTGTTGAGGCCACACTACACCACACACTGTTGAGGCCTCACTACATCACACACTGTTGATGTCACACTATACCACACTGTTGAGGTCACACTATACCACACACTGTTGAGGTCACACTATACCACACACTGTTGAGGTCACACTATACCACACTGTTGTATGACTACCAATGAACCATACAACTACTACACTGTTCACGAATCCCTTGTGGATCAGTTCACTGGTTGGTGGATCAGTTCACTGGTCGGTGGATCAGTTCACTGGTCGGTGGATCAGTTCACTGGTCGGTGGATCAGTTCACTGAAAACTGTAATGAAGGATTAATGGTCAACTGGGCTCTTATATAGGGTCGTGCCAAGAAGGTCAAAGTGTGTGTCAACTTGAACACATGAATTAACACCTAAATATGTATAAAATCACAGATGTGTGTTTGTATATAAATATGCATGTTTGTACTGTGTATATCTAGGCATGTACAATAATAGTTAATGTTATAAATACTCATATGTTACATGGAAATTAGTTTATCCTGATTGACTTTAACAGCGCCAAACACAGCCTGATACTGTACTGTACTTTCATACGAGGTTTAATGCACAATGGGTCTTACGATTACGATTAATGTTCCTCTGAATTAATAATGTTTAAATGCCCTTAACTCGTTAACTTATCATAAAATTTAAAGATTAACATCATAATTAACGAGACTTCCTTAACTAGATAAGTTTACCTAACACCAGTTGAGACAAAATGAAGGCAGTGTTAAAGTATTTGTTTCTAGTTGTCCACGTGTTATCTCTTGACGTTGTTTTCGTGTTTTAACAATAGGTTGTACGAATATTAGGGTGTGGGTGTAGAGAAGGGGGCTCACAACGCTCCTTGGACTCCCCCCCCCCCCAAAAAAAAAACCCTAGACCCACCATTGTGTGTGTGTGGATGATGAATTTAGGTAATATGACTATGGTAGCCTCAAAGCCACCAGTAGCTTATTTCCGATAGTGATTTTGTGTAGTTTAAAGGTTAAGCGGATGATGATCCCGGGCGGCCACGGGTCCAAGTACTAACCAGAATAAGACGCTGTTTAACGTCACTGATGAGACGAGAAGTGATGTTTTTCAACGTGGGTGGGTGTGGTTAAGCTCAGCGTTGGGTAATTAACCACGTCCACGTACTTGCTCTTCTGTTAAACCTGCACTTGTTCAACACATCTTGAAGTGGACCAGCCTCACTCCTAAACTGACATGGGGACTGAGTGAGGGCTTTACACCACACTACGTCACAGGAAACTGACGAACGGATGTAACTACTATGTGCCTCTGGTGGAGTCTTTCCCCACCAACTGTTAGTACTAATATCTAACGTATCTGTAATAGTTGATCCACAGATTGTATTATCTCAGTCTCTTGATGTGGTTATCACGGGTATATTACCTTTATCATTTGAAACACTTATAATGCAAGTCCTTACCGACAACTCCCTGACTCATTTAATTATTTTATCTCAAATGTACATTATGGAAGTTAAAAATACTCTTCTACTTAATTTCATCATCGTTTTACAGTATCACAGAAAAAATACACGAGTTTATTCTGAATTCGATGTATTTTTTTTCACATATATGTTGATAAAAACACACAGGATTACATTGTCAGTGCTCTCACGACGTTTATGTGACTTAATGTTTAGTGTATATACCTGAAGTGTATAAACAATGTACTGTTCATTGACAGTACAGGTGTACGGACTGATAAAGAGTAGGTCCTATTTATCCATTGTCTGCTACTGTGGGGTATGGGATGTTTGGTTCACACTCAGGATGGGATGGAGAAAGGAAACTCACAATGTGCTCTCTATATACATGTTGTATTGGATGTACAATGCAGCTTGGTGCTGGGAAGGCAGCATGGTTACAAGCGTGATGTAGAGAGAGCTGGTTGGTGAGGGTGCTCAGAGGAGGACAGTTTGTGGGTCGCCATGCTCACCGGCGGGAGCGAGGGCCGCCAGGCAGCGGCGGAGGAGGTGGTGTAGCTTGCTGCGGCTGTAGCTAGAAGAAGAGAGCTGGTTGGTGAGGATTTTCAGAGGAGGACCAGCCTGTGGGTCGCCATGCTCGCCGGCGGGAGCGAGGACCGCCAGGCAGGCGGAGGAGGAGGAGGTGTTGCTGGCTGGTTGGTGTAGGTAGAAAGGGAGGCAGGTCACCACGAGGTCAGGTCTTAAATAGCGCGGTGTAGGCGTGGCTTAGTAGTTGACCTCCGTGATGTATGGCGGCGCTGGTTGACCCAGACCACGAGGCATACACTGGGAAATTCGCGGGGTCGGCTACTCAGCGACAAACAGCGTTTGTAGGAGAGAAATCCACGACAGCACAAATCCAAGTACTCCAAGTAAGGACGAATGAATCCCTTATATACTTGGGGCAACTGCTCAGGAGTGAAGTAGCTGCGGCATCTGTACAGCATTCCCAATTTTCGGGAGGCAGCTTTAGTTATACTAAGGATGTGTGATTTCCAGGACATATTGGAGGAAATGGTGAGGCTTAACATATTTATTTCAGAATTTGGGAGGATGATAGCGTCCTGAAGTGTAATTGGTGGGAGATCGTCTAATTTACAAAGTGTAATCGGTAAATATTGAGTTTTATTACTATTGAACTTAACCAAGTTTGTATCTCCCCATTCAGAGATCCGCGTTGATAGAAGTAATGATATCAGTTCTAGAAACAGATCTAGTTTGAGAGATAGGAGGAAGGGGAAAATGTGAGGAAGAGTGAAGAGTAGAATCATCAGCGTAAGAATGGATAGAATTAGTTGGTGTGAAGTAAATCATTGATAAAAAGAAGGAAGAGAGTTGGTGAAAGAACAGAACCCTGTGGGACACCACTATTGGTAGAGAAAGAGTGAGAAACCGATCCCTCGACAACAACTGCCATGGATCGGTTCTCAAGGAAGCTAGAGATGAGAGAACAAAGTGGGGGAGAGAAACCAAAAGAGGGAAGTTTAGATAGCAAAGACTTGTGCCATACCCTGTCAAATGCTTTGGAGATGTCGAGGGCCACAACAAAAGTTTCCCCATAGGCCCTAAGAGAGTGTGGGGTATGAAATTGTTTGGTTCACACTCAGGATGGGATGGAGAAAGGAAACTCACAATGTGCTCTCTATATACATGTTGTATTGGATGTACAATGCAGCTTGGTGCTGGGAAGGCAGCATGGTTACAAGCGTGATGTAGAGAGAGCTGGTTGGTGAGGACGCTCAGAGAAGGACAGCTTGTGGGTCGCCATGCTCGCCAGCGGGAGAGAGGACCGCCAGGCAGGCGGAGGTGTTGCTGGCTGGTTGGTGTAGGTAGAAGGAGAGACAGATCACCACGAGGTCAGGTCTTAAATAGCGGGGGTAGGCGTGGCTTAGCAGTTGACCCCCGCTCCGTGGTGTATGGCGGCGCTGGTTGACCTAGACCACGAGGCATACACTGGGGAATTGGTGGGGTCGGCTAGGCAGCGACAAACAGCGTTTGTAGGGGAGAATTCCACTACAAGAGGATGACCAAAGATGGGTGCAATAGGAGAGCAGATCACCAGTAGATCTCGCCTGGCGAAAGCCATATTGGTGATCCGACAAAAGAGAAAGGCGGTCAAGGTGACGGAGAAAATGGGAGTTCAAGATAGTTTCGAAAATCTTAGAGAGGAATGAAGTTAGGGCAATGGGACGATAGTTAGAGGGATTACAATGGTCACCCTTCTTCGGGATGGGCTGAACCAACGCATGCTTCCAAGAAGAAGGAAAAGTTTTGGTTTTAAGGCAAAGGCGAAAGAGGCAGGTGGCTACAGCGCAATAAATCATTGTTATAAAAGAAAAACACTCCACTTCACTTGTAAATATCCCGCTTCTACTGTTTGACGTAACGAAGTGGGCGGAGCTTAATAAGTGATGTCATCAGTAGCCAATCAGCGACGTTGGATTGAATCCAGCAGTCAATTAAAATAAAACAAAAAACCTCCATTCCATACATTTATTGTATAACTCTTAATACCATCATAAGCCTTCAAAAATACGTAAATAAAAATTTGAAATTTATTTTCATTCGCGTAGAGCTACTTGCCCCCAGGCGCCGGGTATAGCATTTCATTAAAAAAATGTGCAAATGTTTTCCTTCTCAATTAACATCACTTATTTAGAAAAATTTAATCATTTAATAAAAATATTACTTTAAAATTAAACGGATGAGAATACTGTAGAATAATAATATTTTGAAATTCTTGGTATGAACGTGATAAGAGGACGCAGCCAATGGCGGCAACTCAGACAGCCTGAACCACACGTCTACACTCTGTGGCCCTAACGTGATCACCAGCACAACAATTTTAATGGTTTGTGAGCCTGTGTGATACACCCTATTCAAGATGTCTGACAGTGACAGTATTAAAGAATTATTTGTCAGCATTTTTGGCGGGCCAATCCACTTCACCATGGAGAAGAGTCATCCATTAAGGGAAGAAACTCGACAGTTCATAAGAGTAAGTACTTTATACTGTATGTACAGGGTGTCCCATCAATTTCCATACACAGGAAAAATAAATTTTGTATGAAAATCCATTTTTCTTTATATAATATGCTGTACATGACTACCATTCTGTAGAAAACACTTGAGTGTGTGGGCTGAAGAACAGTTCAAGCACAGCTGGAGTTATGCTTGAAATGCCGCTGGTCATACGTTGTATTATTATTATCGGTGAATTTATAGTATTACACCCCGATCTCTTTCACTGCTATTAATATGCATTTCGTATTGTGGTAAATTTGTATTGTCACACCGTTCTCTGTTAGAAAGTAAAAAATATAATTTTCTAGTGTATTTGTGTGTTTAGACTGAATATGACCTTCATTTCTGGGGGAAATTAGCCGGGTTTTTCGAATTTTTTTAGTTAAGACGTTTTCTGAAAAAAAATCCTGGCAAAATACACCAAAAACACTAGAAAAACCAAAACCTAACCTAACTTAACTGACTCACCATATGATGGAATCACCTATTTCTTACCTTCTCCGACAGAAGGGACCTTTATGCTAGGGATGGGGTCACTGAAAAGCGTAGCGCTATGAAGAGCGATCCGCCCCAGGCAGGGCAACACTTTTGGGTCTGCTCATCACCCATGTCTGCAGCTACTGGAGACGTTAATCCATCCCTTTGTATCGGCAGCAGGTTAATCCTTGTCGTGTCTGACCTAACACCTGACCCACATCATCACGGCCACGTCATGAGCTACGTACACCCTTGCTATGCGCCCCCCCCCCACACACAACCTGTAACCTGTTGAGGATTCAGGAAACAACTTCAAACAAGTACGCCAGTGAGCTCATGTGGTGTGGGTCAGGTGTTAGGTCAGACACGACGAGGATTAACTTGTCGCCGATACAAAGGGAAGGATTAACGTCTCCAGTAGCTGCAAAACCATGCAGTCTCGGGTCATATCAGTTCATGTACAGCCGACCAATCCACCAGTTACAAGCAATTCACTTCAGTTCTGCACAAGTCTCCATCGTGACAAGACGAGGGGAGGCTAGACGACTTTTAAGTTCTCTTGTGTTTTCGATCCAGTTATTTACTTCGTTGGAAGACATAATACTATAAGGTAAGAAATATTAAAGTATTGGTTAAAAAATATTGATGTGACTTTTGCTGCGGTACTGAGATTAAATATTAAGATTTTGTTTCACAGCATTGCGATTTTATACTAAGACACTATCCTCACTGGGGTACAGACAAAAGCCCCCCCGACAAAAGCCACCCAGACAAAAGCCCCCTACTTTGATTGGGATGGCTTTTGTCTGACAAGAGTAAGGGCTTTCAAAAGTTACGGACATAATTAAATAGTTGAGGGTAAAATATACTGTTCTTCTCTGTGGTTAATTATTGGTTAGGTTAGGTTGGGTTAGGTTAGGTTAGGTTAGGAAGTTGAAGTTTTCATTTCAGAAATAAAGATGGTCCTAATTTTTTACATTTTTTTTACTTTTATCCCTATCCTATATGTCGTTTTTGCTTTTTGGTTTAACTGTTACTTATAAAGTTTAAGTATGTTTGGGGGTGTATTTAAAGCATACTA